AGCAGGATGACGTGGAGCACGTTATTTATCTCCCACATGTGCGTCTTCATGCTCCCTCCATTAAACAGTGATACCGGCACTTCCCTGCCACGTGGTGGCATGGTGAAGAAACGTACTTTCACAGTGATGAAGGCCTCGATAGCAGAGCGATAAGGGACATCTCAGGACCTTGGACTATGTCTTTGCTGAGAGTTTGGGTCAACTTTCACGTTGTCCAAAGCCTATACATACCCCCTGACTGTCTATAGTCTCAACCCCTGGCACCCAGGAAGCTCTGCTGAACTTCCAGGTTTCAAGTGGTCCCTGTCCCCATTCACCTCTTCACCCATCACCTGCTGCAGTGAGTTTATAACTCATCCAGGTGTGTCAGGCAGGGGCATGGATATAAAGGGGCAAGACGGGTATTTGTCCAATGCTATCATTTACTCAAGGAGTGCTGCTGCATGTCCCCTACAGGGGAGAGGGCTCTTTAAATCCTTCCCCCCCCCCCCCCCCCCCAACATACTTCTTACCCTCCCCCCCCCCCCCTACCCAAATTATCTATGTCCTTTGCACAAGAAGTCCATCAGCAACAATCCCACAATTCACCATTCCTACCTTCCAGCTTCTCTGTGCTCCACTTTCCCTCTCTGCTGTCAGTAGAGACAAGCCCAGAAGAAGAGGAAGTAGTAGTCTCGAAGGGTTCACCTAGGAAATGCGGGATTTATCTTAGTGCTGTGCTCGAGAAATGAGGATTACAACCTGGATCGCTTTGGTGCAGGGCATCAGGAAAGGGGAGCTGGCGTGAGGCTCGCACGGGTTGAGGGATGCCCTCAACTGCATCATAGATACGCCCTTACACAGATAAAACTGCACGGATTCAGGCACCGAAGGGTTGATAGGGGCTTTGCTTGCAATGTCGGATGGCCATCGTCTTGAGTGGTGGACTGTATTCCTGGGGTCTGAGGGAGGAGCTGACTGATTTCTAAGGGCTTTTTTTCTTTTCAAGGCAGATCCTTCCCCAACCAGTTAATCAAGACAGATTCACAAAGCCCATTTCAAGTCATCAGTCTTCCTGCATTATGCATTTCTTTTGATGACTGAGCCCACAAGCAACGGAGAGGAATACAAATGCATAGCCATCACTGACTTCTCTCCCAGGAATCAAGGCAATGAATGGGATAGTAAAACAACCTCTGGCTGAAAAATGGCTTCAGCTTGAGCACAGCAGAAAGAACAGCTGCAGCCAGGAAAACACAATTAACAAGGCGCCGTCACCAATGCAATCATGTTTTCCCTTTCTCTTTGAATGCATTATGGCCCTTAACAGCCACCTGTACGGTACTTCCCAACCACAGGACTTCTCTGCACAATTTTTGGGAGGCTTATTAAGGTTGAAAGAGAGCCATTCAAAATGGGGGTGAGACAGGAGGTGGCCCCCTTTTGAATTAAACGTAACTATTACTTGAACCATGAGTTGACCCGTGAGTCAGGGTAGGCATGGGGAGGAAAGGTGGTGTGAGACCCTCGGCCTCACGGGATCCAGACTGCAGTGGTTGTTTTATTATCCATTTGTGATTTCCATAGCTTTCCAACTAGGCCAGGCATGAAGAAGGCACAGGGATGGATCCTCTGGTCTGCCAAGTTTTGCAAAAAAAACCCTCCAAAATTGTACTTCCCAAAAGGGTACCGCTCCCCTATAGGAGGAATTTCCACTGGTAGATGTGCTTCTCATATCAACAGCTTCCACTGCATTGTGGTGAGAGATGATTGCTGGAGAAGGCATGGTGGATTCAAGCTCCAATATGCCTTGTCCTCCAATGACACCACTACAGGCCTTGCACCGGTGGCTGAAATAAATGTCAATCCCCCACTGCTCTAAGCATCAGGGGGTGCGTTCATCAGGGTGAAGACCCAACGTGGGCCATTTGAAGTGCGACTGCATGGAGTTTGAGAGGCTCTCTGCCAGCAACCTTCATAACCTCACAGAATCAGTATAGCAAGCAACTTGAAGCCAATCCATTGCATTTGCTTGACCTTAATAGCTCATGTGAGCTTTTTCTTTTAAAAAAAAAAAAAGAAAAGCTTAATATCCCAGGTCCCGTGTGCTGTAGATTTCTTGCTGCACTTGCATTTGATGGCAAAAGCCAGGCACTTCTGTGCGGATTTGTTTCCAGATCTAAGGATGCTGAAGATGGAGCAGCACGCGTGGCTGTTACCTTGCGGTGGTGCAATGCAATGTTTTCTCTGTGACTTACTGAGTTCAGACAGAAGAACGGAAACTGGAGTCACTTCAGATTGTCCTTTCATGGTGATTTCCTGCTAATTTGAAGGCATATGCACCAGCTGCATTTCCACGTGCAGTTATACTACCTATAGCCTGTCCGTGATATACAGTGGATTACATATGTCCATGGCATGACTAGTATGGCCCAAAAGTTTTGTTACAGTCAAATCACATAATGCATTGGGCAGAGAAATCACGTTCTAGGTGAGACAATCACTCTTTTACTGCCCTTCCTCATCAATGGTGACAAGAGAATATCTTCAACTATAATATTTTACTCATGACTTACAAACCCATTTCTTTTTCCGTATATTTTATTTTATACGTGAAGCGTCTTGCTGCAATACTGGACTTCTCTTCATGCCTTTGCGGGCCTCCTGAGGAGGAACTGCTGACTCCAGCTTCAAGCTGCTTTGTGGCAATGTTTCCTCCAAAGGACTTTTCCCTGAAATCATCCCAGAAGTCAACTGTCAGTGCAATTTGGCTCCAGTTATGGATAACCACTTGGCACTGATAACCTCCTAGGCCACTGCACCCTAGAAGCCATGTGTGTCAAAAGCCACTTGACCTGCCATGTATTAAGATGTCAGAGACGGTACTCAACTGCATTTTCTATTCATTAGTCACAGCCCTAGGTTTCTGAAACCCCTACACTAGCAATTACAAATGAGATGGAAGTGTGCTAACCTAGCATGTGGAGAAATACCTGACTTAGAGCACTGCTATATTTTTTTTTAACCTAAAAAGCTTCACTTAGAAGCAAAATAAATCATCTTCTTAAAGCATCTATAATTTATCTCTCTACATCCAAGCATGAGACAACAAATGGATGCTAAATTCCTTGCTAAAAAAGCAAGAAAAACTAGCAGGGGAGCATGTAACGGACCCTGCTAAACCATTTATGATTCCCCTTGGCCCTACATTAACTTGGGAGAGAGGTTTAGTCCATTTCCTTCCTTGCGACCAGTCTGTTCCTATAACTGGTTTCCACTGAAGGTCCTGATGCTCAGACCGCTGCACTGATGAGAATTATTACATTAATTGCAAGACAGCATTGTTTTTGATCTGATGTTGCAGTCCCTGGTAGGCAAGGAAGGGGCTGTATTCTGGTGCTGTAAGCCCTGGCATCATTAACAGCGTTGAGAAAGACAGAGAAGAGAATACTAGTGCCAATGGGACGTCCTGGAGGACGTTTGTAGAGGACATGGGCAAGCAGGATGCAACACTGCCAAGGGAAGTGGAAAAGGGCATTTGTCAGTAGAGCACACATGGTCATTAGCACTACCCCACTCCATCCATCTCACAATGTCTCTTGTAGAAGATGCCGGGTGGTCTTGGAGATGCTACTGGCATGTTTCCTTTGGTGTTTCTGCACTCAAAGTACAACCTCCATGACACACAGCAGCACAGAGAGCAAAGAGGGATCTCAGTGCTGCCATTCTTGCAGAAACTGGTTTATTATACCCGCCACGCTAAAAGGATATAGTCAACATTGGAAAGCCTGGTATTTGACCTTTCCCTCACCTTTACCTGCTTGTAAAATCTGCCTCATTATTTGCTTTTGATTCAAAGCAAATGTTTCCATAGTTTTCTCTGAAAACCCCCTGAAATTAATACTCGTAGCAGAGTAGTTGTGTGCAACCCTATAATGCATGTGTGTGTACATTCGTGGATGTATATAGACACACACATGATGAGCTGGGGGAAATCAATGCAGAAATCGGGTTCAGTGAAAATCTTCCAAAGGGAATGGAAAAACTAGTTATTTTTTTCCTTCTGAGTATCAAATGTTATAACCCCACTAGTGTCTTTCTAAGAGATCCGCTCCTTTGACAGATTAATTATGAATTTTTACTTCTTAGTCTACTGAAGGTTGTTTGCTCAGGCTTCATTCCTTTTTACAAAGCATAATTTGCAAGAGAAATATATCTCCACTAGTATTTGATTGAGTGTATAAAATTTAGGACTGGCTGACTAATTCATTGCAACTATGGTAATATTCACTGAAAATTTTGACACTTCCATTGAATCATTATTTAGGAATAATTCTTTTTTTTCCATTACTCTACCGAGCGCTCATAAAAATGAGCTCTTGTTAATCTGCCTATTCATTTTGCTGCATTGAAATTAAAGTTACCGGCCGGCTTGGGTCTTCCATATTGCTTGTGCAAAAATGGAAATTGGTTCGGGTTCATTGAAGGCAAAACCTTGGTTAAAATTCAGGATCTTTATTTTCACAGGGAAGAGAGGCTATCAGATCAGTCGTCATCTTAAGGGGGATGGAAGAAACGTACCTAGAGTTGCAGCATGCCATTCTTTATCTAGAAGCCATTTTCTCCAGGCCTGTGTCCCTCCAGTGATCCTCTCCTTTTGCTTCTCTCCTACGTTAGGGATTCAGGGACATTGACCTAATAAAATTCAAAGAGAGTGGAGCCAATCTGACTGGCTTTCAGTTGGTGAATTATACAGACACCATCCCAGCCCGGATCATGCAGCAGTGGAAGAGCAATGATGCCAGGGAGCACCCTCGAGTTGACTGGAAGAAGCCAAAGGCAAGTGGTATAGAAAGCCATTTGTTTAAGGTAGTGTCGGCCAACCTCAGGTGCTAATATTCTTATGTCTCAATATTCAGCTTGAGCCATTCTCGGTTTTTCTTGCATTAAGCATGCCCCTGCCGTATAATAACACACACCTCGTTTTTGAAAGGCAGAAGGAAGGAAAAAAGATCTGTCCTTGTAGTAAGCAAGAGTCCAGCATTTGCAAAGCATTTAGTCTAGAAGAATATTTTGGGGGTCGGACTCGATGATCTATTGAGGTCCCTTCCGACCCTGACATCTATGAATCTATGAATAAGAGACTAAGATAGCAAGTCTCTTTAGCTTCTCTTCTCTGTAGTCTTCTAGGGGGCAAGGTACATACTTGCAGTAGCCTACAAAATAGTGGAGATAGCATCCAGATTCCTGTTATCATGCTGGAAATGTCATGTGAAAGGATGAAAATGAAGTAAATTGCCCTGAAACGAATCATACAGTGAGACTTCAGATACCGGTTCCACACCAGGAGCTCCTGTGGAAGGAACCGGTACACCTACGTGTATATATGTAAGATCAACCCACGCTAACAGATGATACCCCTCTCTCATTCCTCTTCTAGTACACATCTGCTCTTACTTACGATGGAGTTCGGGTGATGGCTGAGGCCTTCCAGAGCCTACGGAGGCAGCGGATTGACATCTCCCGTCGCGGAAACGCTGGGGATTGCCTTGCAAATCCGGCCGTTCCTTGGGGTCAAGGCATTGACATTCAGAGAGCTCTGCAGCAGGTAGAAACAACCCCATGCTGCTCTTTCCAAACAGGATCAAAGCATTGTTCTTCCAAAGGGTAGCCTTCCTCTATACCGGAGGCATTTTGTAAGAGGTTCCTGGAGTGAGACCCAGGGGATAAGAGTTTCAGATGGTTGATTTTGAGGCTTCTGTGGATCATCAGGAGGTAATTAAGTGACCGTTAACTGGTATGGACAACACCTCCAGTTCCCTACAAATACAGTCCCAAGCTCATCTTGAGCAGGTCAAAACACCTGAGGTTTCTTTTCTGTTCTTCTGCATGCTTCTTGCGTGTGCGGTTGATCATTTCACCCTTATCCCTCTCAGGTGCATTTTGAAGGATTAACTGGAAATGTTCAGTTTAACGAGAAAGGTCGTCGGACCAACTACACCCTTCATGTGATGGAAATGAAACACGATGGGATCCGGAAGGTAACGCAAAGCAGCTTGTGTCTGAAAGCAGCAGGGCACAGCTCAGGGCCCGGGAGGCAATGGGGCTTTCTCATAGCCCGGTTCTCCTCGTGAATCAGGAAACGGAGGACTTTTGGGTAAGGTAGCTGGTGACCTGAGTGCTCCCTGCAAGTAAAAGAAGGTGTGAGAGAGAAACCTCAGTGCATGATGTAGATACCATAGGTGGGAGGGATTTTCAGAGGCAACCTCAGTTGGCCTAATTCTCATCCCATTGTCGTCAAGGGGAGTTTCACCGCTTAACTTCAACGGGAACTCAATGCCGGCTTCAGCTGACCAGGATTTCCAGCTGACCTCAGTGCCCATCGTCCAAACGCAATTTTCAGAAGGGCCCAATTTCCATTTAGGCACAAAAATAAGTAGCCAGATTCTCCGAACTGCTCTGCTTATTGCAGGGACTTACTGCATTTTAACTTCTTTTGAAAATCCAACCACAATGGGAGCGGTGGGGGACCTTTAAAATTTGAAGTCTTGTGTAGGTGGCTAATGGGAGCTAAACCCTTTTGAAAATCTAGCTCTGTTCATGGGTGCTGAGCCCTTGAAACTCAAGCCCTTTTGAAAATCTGACTCCATCCAGCACACTCCCACTTCCATACAAAATACTCGTATGGAGAGAGATTTTTCTCCCTTTGCCCTTTGGAATTTGAAGTGCTTTAGAAACGTTTTTGGTGGATGAAGAAGGCTTCAATTATGCAGCGAGCTGAAGCAAGGCTATTAAATAATTTAGGATTTGTGTTACCCACTGAAAAAGACATAGATGTGTGTTTAATGAGGGAAAATAGCACACAATATTTCCACATATGCTAACTGTATTGCACAGGATCTGTGGTTATACCTGCAGCATTCAGGGTCCAGTCAGACCCCACTAAAAAGGACTCACTGAAATGCAGTTCCTGAAATGTTATTCCCTTTGGGGAAATGTTTTGTGCAGTTTTATATTTTGGTGATAACTGGCTAGCGAGAGATGTGCAGAGGCAGAACTTTTTTGTTAGTCAAAACAGGATCTTTCTTCCAGCATGATGATGTGCATCTGCATAACTGAAAATTATGCATGTGTTGGTACAGCACACAGTATCGGGGAAGTCCTAGTCTGTGTTTGCGATGCAGATTTGCTACCACAAAGATTATAATATAATAACGGCAATTATAGACAGTAGAAAAGCATAGGAGAACCGAGCACTGACAAAGCGTGTTGCCATTAGCTCACTGTAAAAGCAAGATGACCAAGATAGACCCCACATGTTAGGCTTCACATTTATTGCAAAAATCCTGGCAAGCTATTTCCAGTGTAGCACATGGTCTATTGGCTCAAGTAGGTGAGAAACGCAAAATAAATGTTTTTTTTTTCCACTTGCATTGCTCTCAAGCAGAGCTTTGGAAGCTCTTTGCTCACATTATTTCCTTTTTCATTCTTTACAATAAAGAGAGATGAGAATTGTCTGCTGTTTTGTTGGGTTTTTATCTCCTGCATTGCCATGATCTCTAATCATCCGTCAACAGGCTACTGGTCTTACCCTCTATTAATACTTTTTCCCCATGTAATGGGATAAGAAATCCCTTTCACGTCAGCAGAGCTCATGCAACCTCGCCCCGGCATGTTTTTGATGGAAAAAGTCTTGTAAAACCAAGCCTCCAGAATGAACTTCCCGTTGATGCTCACAGCTTCCTGCTGTGCTTGTGAGCTGTGGTGGCAAAGGCTGGATCCCTGATCATTAATAACATCAGGTGCTCTCTTTTATCGCCTGGTAGATGCATGTGTAACTCTACATGTTTGTAATGTTAGACAAACCCCATTTCCCTCTTTTTAACCTATCTTCTCCTCTTCCCCCTGATTTGTCCCCATTCTTCAAGGCATCTTAGGGGTTGATCTTTACTCATGCAAATCTTTAGCTGTGATGAGGATTCTTATGGGCCTAAAGAGGTTCGTTGTGAATTAGTGATGGCCATTTAAAAAAAAATATATGAACAAGTCATTGTACAATGATGTGAGTTTCTTTAGTTATTTACTTGCCTAAGTAGAAGGCTCAGAGAGAAGCAATTATTTTTTTAAATACCTACATACACATAGCAAAGTTTGGCATCCGTTTGCCTAGGTTTAGGCCTGCACGGGGGGAAAAGGTTAAGTATGCAGGAGCATTATTAGCACTTTGCTGGGTTATGACCAGGGTGAGGCTGGGCAAACGTACTGGTACTCTGATCTCCTCTTGGTTCAGCTTGCAAAGAGACGTCAGCGGGGAGTCATGTTCTTTCTGTCATTCGCAGATTGGCTACTGGAACGAAGATGAAAAGTTTGTCCCAGCAGCCACAGATGCACAAGGTGGCAACGAATCCATGAGTCTCCAGAACAAGACATACATAGTTACCACAATTCTAGTAAGTTTTCTCACACGTCTCCCTCAAAACTTTCTCCGCTTACATTTTTTGTGCGCTGTCTCCCCCTTTTCTTGAAACATTTTACATAAAATAATAACTGCACAAAGTTAAGGAAGTACAGGTTGAATGAATGGACAGTAAGGTAGATGGAAAGCTGGCTGGATCATCGGGTTCAACAGGTAGTGATCAACGGCTTGAGGTCTAGTTGGCAGTCGGTATCAAGTGGAGTGCCCCAGGGGTTGGTCTTGAGGCTCTTTTTTTTCCCAATATCTTCATTAATGATGTGGAAGATGGCAGAGCACACCCTCAGCAAGTTTGCAGATGACACCGGGCTGGCAGGAGTAGTAGATATGCTGGAGGGTAGGGCTTGGATGCAGAGGGACCTAGACAAATTGGAGGATTGAGCCAAAATAAATCTCATGAGGTTCAACAAGGACAAGTGCATAGTCCCACACTTAGGACGGAAGAGTCCCATGCATTGCTACAGGCTTGGGGCCAACAGGCTAAGCAGCAGCTCTGCAGAAAAGGCCCCGGGGGTTACAGTGGACATGATATGAGCCAGCAGTGTGCCCGTGTTGCCAAGACGGCTAATGGCATCCTGGGCTGCATTGGTAGGAGCGGTGCTAGCAGATCAAGGGAAGTAATTATTCCCCCCCTCTATTCTGCACTGGGGAGGCCATGTCTGGAGTCCAGTGTCCAGTTTTGGCCCCCCGCTACAGAAAGGATGTGGACAAGTTGAAGGGAGTCCAGTGGAGGGTAACGCAAGTGGATCAGGGGCTGGAGCCACAGGGCTCGGTGAACAGCTATTCACCAGGGCACCCGTGGGTAAAACCAGAGGAAGTAATTATTCCCCCCCTCTATTCTGCACTGGGGAGGCCATGTCTGGAGTCCAGTGTCCAGTTTTGGCCCCCCGCTACAGAAAGGATGTGGACAAGTTGAAGGGAGTCCAGTGGAGGGTAACGCAAGTGGATCAGGGGCTGGAGCCACAGGGCTCGGTGAACAGCTATTCACCAGGGCACCCGTGGGTAAAACCAGAAGTAATGGCCATGAACTCCTGGAAGACCATTTCAGGCTCAACATTAGGAAAAACTTCCTCAAAGTCAGGGTGTCCAGAATGTGAAATAAGCTCCCTCCAGATGTGGTGCAATCGCCTACCCTGGAAATCTTCAAGAGGAGACTGGACAGACACCTTGCTGGGGTCACCTGGCCCCCAGTTGACTTTCCTGCCTGGTGCAGGGGGCTGGACCCGATGATCTTTGGAGGTCCCTTCCAGCATTGCAATCTATGAACAACTTGTGAGGAGAAGCTGAGGGAAGTGGGCTTATTTAGTCTGGAGAAGAGAAGACTGAGAAGGAATTTAATAGCAGCCTTCACCTCCCTGCAGGGGGGCTGCAAAGAGGCTGGAGCTGGACTGGTCTCAGTGGGGGCAGATGACAGGACAAGGAGCAATGGGCTTCAGTTGCAGAAAGTAAAATTGAGGTTGGACATTAGGAAAAACTTTCTCCCTAGGAGGATAATAAAGCAGTGGAACAGGTTACCCAGAGAGGTGATGGGGTCTCTATCTTTAGAGGTTGTTAAGACGCAGGTAGACAAAGCCTTGGCTGGGATGATGTAGTTGGGGCTGGTCCTGCTTTGAGCAGGGGGTTGGACTAGACGTGACCTCCCAAGGTCCCTTCCCACCCTCATTTTCTGCTGCTGTGATTCTTCTGATAGTCCCAAAAAGTGTTTGTAATTGCCTTGGATAATTACATATTTCAGATATTGAGCAGACATTAAGCATGCTGAACAGAAGGAAACACAAGGCAATATGATAAATACACAAAACATCAAGAGAGGTTAAACTAGATGCGTCATACCTGAGTTTTATATTCCCAACTAAGAGTTGGAGCTGTAATGTTGGGGAATATTCTTCTGTATTCTGCATAAATAACAGAGAGGTGAAAGCTTCCTTTAAAAAACAAAACTCAAGCATAACTACGAAGGAACATCAGGCACCTCCATATTTTTTTTTTATATTTAATGTACTGCACCGTTGCATCTTCTTACCTCACAGAGATAGACCGATGAAGACTCGGTCAGTGTGACAGATTTGGGGACCTAGAGATGGAAGCTATTCTATCCCTTTTGGTGACTGTTGAAGATGTCATATCACTTCTCATTGATTAGGTCCAATTGATTAATTGAGGAGGGTTGCTTCAAAATTCTGCCCCATAAAGACCTGGAAGACATGGACCAAGGGTCCAAATTCTTCATGAAAGTGGCTGTGCTGAAAAAGCAGTGAGAACTGTAGCTAGTACCCTAGTCTGAAAGCATGACATGAGGAGGGAGAGGCATGGCAGAATAATTTGCTTTCTCTCTGCCAGGAAGACCCGTACGTGATGCTCAAGAAGAACGCCAACCAGCTTGAAGGCAATGACAGGTATGAAGGCTACTGCGTGGAGCTTGCTGCTGAGATCGCTAAGCATGTTGGCTACAATTACACGTTGGAGATAGTGAGAGATGGGAAGTATGGAGCCCGGGACCCTGACTCTAAAACATGGAATGGCATGGTGGGAGAACTGGTGTATGGAGTAAGTTTCCAACCTTGTCCATTGGTTCATAATGACTTTATTGAGGTCCACTCATCATGACTTACTGCCGTTACTGGGTTGCAACAGGCCCTAGCACATGTGGATGTATATACAAGCTATCCTAAACTATAAGATCTAGTTGGCAAGACCTTCTGATGCTCCCTCCTGCTAGCTGAGCTGAGAACAGCTTCTGCTAGGGCAGGGGGACATTGCCGCTTGCTTACACAGATAAGCCCAAAGCTTTCCCTCCTCCTGTGAGCCTCTGGCACAGAGTCGGGCTCAACCAACACCCCAGTCCCCAGGTCAGAGCTAAGCTGGCCTTTAAACCAGCTTGAATCTCCAAGTTCAGCTTTCCAACCTGGATCTAGTTTGGGGCATAGGTTTTTCTAAGCCCTCATTCTGGCTTTTGCTTGGGAACAAACATAGACCCCCCTCCCTCCCCCCCAAATAAAGAAGGCCACAGCCTGCAGTCAGCACAGCCTCCTATCCACTGTTATTACCAGTTTCCTCTGCTTCTCTGATATATCAAGCAGTTGGGCAAGATGGTCTTTTGAGCTCCAGCTGTCTTGACCTCCCAGACTCATCCTCCTTTCCTGGGTGAGCCCTGAAATCTTGTCATGCACAGGGCCAAGGAGGATTTTGTGAGTCTTGGTTATCTTGCAGCCCTTGGCCCCGTAGTAAAAATGCATTCAAGAACTAGAGATGATTGTCCCATTGCATCTTGATAAGACATCCACATCTTGTGCTTGCACATGCACGTAAGCGCCTACAGACGCTCTGATGCACTTATGCACGAGTCTGAATACCCCGACACAAGATGTGTGTGTCCTCTTAATGCATCAATGGTATCCTCTCTGTCTCACTCTGCTTCTTTCTCTCACTCCCTATCATTTTTGAAAGGTGCCATTATTGTGTGTTGCTAGGTGCTTCAACCCCAACTCAGCTTTTAAATGCTCACTTTGATAAAAGGTGAGCCGTTCAGCCTGTTACCGGTGTTCTTGTCAGTCGGTGTCAATTAGTGCAATCAGTTCCTATAGAACTTGAGTACCATGCTTTAGGTTTAGCCAGCAGCAACCAGCATGACCTTTCCTATTCAATACCATGGGTTTAACACGTTACGGCATATAATCTTCTTTTCAGGAGGAAAGCCTGCAGCTATGCCATGTCTCCCACTGCAGAGAAGCAGTCCAAAGGAGACCTGGGAAGAAAATTAAACAGGCATCCTACCCCAAAACTGCCACTGGGCACATCTGTGTTGCCAGCTTTTTTCTAACGGGGTGCAAAATTGCCCCTGGCTTAAAAATCACGGCTTTCCGACAAGTCGCATTCCCAACAGCCAAATGGTTTTATTTGTGAATCACCTGTTAGTATTCCTGCTTTTTAACCGTGCACCCTGCCCCTTGCCTTTACATCTGGTTGCTGGATGGCTTTGATCGTTATTCGCTAGAGCTGGCCACAAATTTCCCATCCGAACAATTTTCTGCTGGAAAATTCAGTTTCCGCAAAAACGAGATTATTCCCTGGGAGAATTGAAATGAAATCTTTTCTTTCAGGTTGGTTCAGCCTGAATTGGGATTTTTTTGTGGCTGCGATTGTTGCTGCTGTTGAACTGATTGGAAACGTTTAGTTTTTAATGCATTCAATACAGCATCAAACTATGTTCCCCTTTCAGACTGTTGCTCTATTGTAGCTGTAGTTCCCTTTTTCATTCTCTTGTATGGGCCAAGGTAGGCTCCAGACTACAAGTCCCATGATGCAGTGCAGATCAACCCTCTGGTGAAGTGCTGTACTAAGTGCATCATAGGAAACTTGGAAATTTGCCGTGAAGGAGAGAATGGGATGATCAAGCTTCCAAACCCCTAATCCTACAAGATACTTAGCCAGAAGGGGAAGATGCTTTTTCATGCTGACATGACTCAAAATAAAGTCTTTGGGGGCTATTTCAGCCAAGGGAAAAGGAAATATTTTGCTTTGAGAAATGTAAAACAATGGGTTGGGTTTTTTTACTGAAAATGTTTTTAAAATATTCCCTTTTTTTTCATTTCTGTTCCATGAAAAAAATCCAAAAGTAAAGCTTCTCTGTCTGACCTGGACTGTAAACCATGATTGAAATGTCAGAATGGAAATTCCAAATTTCCCCCAACTCCATTTTTCACTCATCACTGCCAAACAGGCACCATGTACACCTCAGCCACCTGATGAGCAACAGTGCTGCACATCTATCTACATGTTACATATATTATGCAATTAACTGGTTCATCACGCAATACATTTAGACTGGCCATGCATGTGAAGTGAGACCAGCCACAAGCACAAAGTAATTAAGACACAGGCTTATGGAAGCACCTGAGCATAGTAGGTGACTGAAAGTCACTTTTGAGAGTCCCACAAGGGTGAAGTACAGTCAAAAAAAACCCAAAGCTGAATAGATTCAGTCTTCATAGGTTAGTCTAAGCTGCATAGATTGAACTGATCAGCAAGTGAACAGACATTCACTTTTGATTTTGGAAATGCAGTGGATCAGACCAGAAGTTGGAGGGGGTGAGGGGGGTGCTAGAGCACACATCACTGCTCAGCTAGAGCAGACAGCTTGGGCCAAGGCTAATGCACCCACCCTGGGAGGGGGGGGGTGGCATTGCAGAGGAGGTGCAAAGCATCCTGGGATGCTGGGGGACTGTGAGTTAACTTGAACCTAGAGGGGATCTCGGACAGAAGTTCAGTAAACCAATTAAACCTAAATCAGTTCAGTCTGATACTGTATCCATCCAGGTTTATCTTAAATCGGTTTTGGTCATTTTGAAAGTGGTTTATGTGCACTGAACTTCTGTTGCGTTACAGATTTGAACCAGTTTCCAATCCCTTATGTTGCTTTATGCGTAATGCCTGTCCCTAGCCAGAGTGTATCCTTATGCCCTTGAACATAGTACACTCTCCATTTTCCGAAGCACTGTAAAATAAACAAAATTGCCACAGGTGTCAATGGAAATGTTCCCCTTCTGACACATCATAGAATAAAAAAGCATCTCCTGCTGCAAATAAACACCCTGGTGTTATCCCTCAATCAGCCTGCTTTTCTCCCATCCCTTCTGACGTCTGCAGGATACGATTTCTTCTCCCTTTTTAATTTTTTTCCTGTTTTTTTTTTTTTTTTTTTTTAAACTGAAATGGGATGTCAGAAACCTGGAATCATGACATCACTGGGTGAATCAGACCAGAGGAGCTGACTGGTTGGGGAGCAAAAAGCTGTGATTTTAAAACACAAATAATCATCAGTAATGAAAAGAAAGGAAATAACATGCCAGTCTGAGGGGATTTTTTTAGCCCTTCTTTTGTCATGGGTTTCTCCTGATTAAACCACCCTATGATATCAGAGAGCGACAGTGGATTGAGAGAGAGAAGGAACGAGAAAAAGGAGGCTGGGGTAGAGTCTATTGGGACATGTTCTCTCCAGCATGTGAACCTGTTACCTGTTACTTTTTTTCAGAGAGCTGATGTTGCTGTTGCACCACTGACCATCACCCTTGTTCGAGAAGAAGTTATCGACTTTTCCAAACCGTTTATGAGCCTAGGCATCTCCATCATGATAAAGAAACCTCAGAAATCCAAGCCTGGGGTGTTTTCCTTTCTGGATCCCTTGGCTTATGAGATCTGGATGTGCATCGTCTTTGCCTACATCGGAGTCAGCGTTGTCCTCTTCCTGGTCAGCCGCTTCAGCCCGTACGAGTGGCACACCGAGGAATTTGAAGAAGGGCGCGACCAGCCAGTCGCTGATCAGACTAATGAATTTGGGATATTTAACAGTCTCTGGTTCTCCTTGGGAGCCTTTATGCAGCAAGGATGTGATATTTCACCAAGGTTGGTTGCTCTCCCCACACGAACCCTCCTTCAGCTTCTGTATTTTTAATCCTTTAAGGGCCCCTTTCTTTCCCGAGCCACATATTTTGTTTTGTGAGTCACAGTTGTCCATTTAGAAATGGGCCAAAACAAAGAGAATTAACCTATTCATGCACTCTAGAGGTTAATTAAGTCGGACGGCAAGGAATCCATTTAGGTTTTGGTTGTGAAATACAAAACACTGAGCAAGAAAGATTGCACAAAACCGCCCACCCTATACCCAGTTTTACTCGCCTTTTGTTTTGTTGTTATTGTTTTTCTTGGAAAAATGACTCAAGAGAGCCATTTCAGCTTTGGCACAACGTAAGCTGACTATAAAGCTGGGTGAAGTGCCAAAGATAGAAAGGAACTGTGTTACAAAAGCTTTCACAAAGAAGAATTGTTGAGCAAAAGAGATGCAGAATTTGAAGATTCAGTCACCTACAAATTTTTGCTTTTCCTTTCCGTAAATAGCCATCCCTTTTCTATCCAAAAAAAAAAGTGAGCCTGCCTTCTTTCAATGGAAGAAACATTGCATAATTGACCCAGCATTTATTTATTTGCTTTTTACCAATATGGCTAATAATAATACAAAGTCTCCCCCCTACACACTTTCTTTATCTCACTTCTTGTAGTTCAAGGCAAAAAAAAAACGAAACTAAACCCTGTTCACAGGTCTCTAAGTAAGTATTTTTCATTTAGGCAAATTATATATTGGTCAAGTGAGAAATCCTTATTCCAGTGGTAGATGTATACTTCCCATGCAATGAGGAGATGAAGCAGAATCCAAGGCTTAGGTATGAATATATCCATTGAAGGAAGAGGAGGACTCAGGTTCTGGGCATTTGTCGTGGCTGCTAGAGATGTAAGAATAAGTTGTGGCTTTGGGTGTTGACCCCAAATTGGCCAACATTGGAGGTCTGATCTATTCTTGTATTTTGGTTGGAGCTCCCATCTTATGGAAGAGTCTTCCCCAGCCTGATTTTGAATCTCAATGCAGAGTTTGTGGTAGTCGGAAAAGTGATCCCATAGATTGGTACCTACATCTTCTGTGTGGATATTCCCTTGTGAAGTCTAAATCAGACGTGCTCTGGTAACAAGTCTCAGCGGGAGGTGTATTTTTTTTTTTCCTCCACCTGGTTGTTCAGGTTTTATTTTTCTTTTGTTCAAAGGAAATTTCAGGCTGAAATGCATTTGTTCTGTGTGAAGGCTGTAGATAGAAGTTAATTTTACACATACTGGGAAGGCAGCGAGAGTCTGGGGAACAAAATAAGAACTGATTCTATCAGCAAATAGTGATAATACCGAAAAGCGCCCGCAAAGCTCTTGTATGAAGAAAATTGTAGTGTTGCTGTGACCTGCTTCTTGGCTGACTGTTCTCTGCTTGTCAAAATATTCATGAAATTCTGGCTATCAGAGAAACAAAGATCTATGGGACATTCAGAGAGCTGGAGCATTTGGGGTACGAATCAGCTTTAGAAAGGTCGTCATCTGATCGCTGATTATCAGGCATTTAGCAGATGTGTTCAGAAAGGCATTTCAGCTCCGTTGCCATTTATTAACTTGTGCGTGTGTTCAGATCAGATTACTTTATTCAAGAAACAGGTTTTGCTCTTGAGAGGTTTCAACATTTTTTGGCCATTAGGTTCCAGTCCAGTTCAGGATGGGCAATTGAAAGTTAGGAAAAAAGATTTTGGAAGGAAAAAGCCTGAAAAAAAAGATCACATTAAAACCCTCAACACTCTATAATCCAAATTCAACTTTTCTGGGGAGGAAAAAAAATCATTTTTAAATCACTGCTTTCAAAACGAAAAAAAAGTGTTTTGAAATATCTGGGTGTTTTGGGGTTTTTTTTCTCTCAGTAGCACAACTGAAATTTTTTCATGAAATCAGTGTTTTTTCTATGGAAAATGTTGATGGCAATAAAGCTGCATTTTCTGACGTGAAATATTTCCAGGCAAAAAATTATCCACTTGCTGTAGCCATTGCACAGCGTGTTCACACAATGTGTCCGGTTCCCTATGGGGTATTTTTGTCCGCCCTATCTTTGTTGGCTACCATGATGACAGCAGTTTTATCTCAGCTGGCAGCACCACAGTGAAACATTTTGTACACCCATCCTGCCTTGAGGCAAGACAAGCTACATAGGCAGATCAACCATTTCCCATCCCGTTAGGGGACTATCATATTTGTTCTCCATCAACCAAAGAATTGAGCATCCCAGAGTCAGCCACAAACCCAGGCCTCCTGATTATATTTCTGTGCCAGGCAGCTGCCTAAAACTGCATCTCCATTTGCCAGCTGCTGTGGTTATGAAAGAGAGCCAGGGTAATGGCTAAATAGTCATGGATATACTTCCTTTGAGGACTCCATGATTGCTTGGGGTATAATGGGATGGGTGGTATTGGTGTATGCTGGTTTCAGGTGCTAATGCTTCTGGAGAAGAGCCACTTGGGTCAGGGGTGTATGGCATGTGTATGAAATTGTTTTTGTAGTGTCCCGCTCTGGATCCGTGCTTGAAAAGGTTTCCACTGGGGAAGCATGGACATGGACGTTTCCAGATACGGTGGGAGAAGTGTCCGTCAAGTGTCATAACATAGGGGAGAATTTCAGTGACACCCGGGGATAATCTTGGAGCTGTAGCTGGGGGTAATGTCTGTGTCGTGTCCCTGTGCAGAGGCTAGAGCTGTGTGCGATGTCAGGGTGTGCAGAAGGCAAGCTGTTTTGGCAATGAAAAAGATGCACTGCAATTGAAATGGTCTGATATCAGCAAACAGCCTGAACACTCAGTTGGGTGCCTGGCCAGACAGCTCCCGTGGCTTCCATCAGACTCCGTTCAGAAATTGCTGGATGGAAATCTCTGCCCCGGGTTTAGCAGCAAGAAAGAGCACATGATTGCATTGATCAGTGCTACCCCCAGAAGCTCTGTGAACCTGTGCTTTCCAGGCCCTGATTGAAATGCAACAGAGCTGGGTTCAGATTGGGGAAAAAGGACAGAAATTGCTCAGAACTGCAAACAGTTTCATGAATGTGTTTATGGGCAGAAATCAGGCAAGGCTGAAACAGGCCATAAACCATTACGCTGTGCAAAACACTACCCAACGGTTTAGGAAGTTGCAAAAAGCCTTTGTTAAATGCGAAACACAGGACCAGTAAGAAGCTGCTGATGGTGGGCATGTGTTCAAGGTAGTTAATAAATATTCTGCACCCAATCACCAAGACCTACAGGAAAGGAAGTGTGGAAAAGAATAGCACTTGAGTCTTACCTGTTTCCAGAATGCACTTCGACAAATTTGGGTGGGAAACTCAGAAGGATCCAAACTCATGACAGCTTGGAAGAGTTAGGCCTTGTGTCCAGACAGAAAAAAAAATGGTAGTGCTCTAACTTTACCAACGGAGTTAAAACAGCACAACCAGCCTTTGAAGGTTTCTTTCGACTTCAGGAGGAATTTTACCTGGCACATCCAATCCTGGAAGGGTCTGAACAGCTGCCTCTTTCACCAGTATGTTATGTCCCCTTTGAACCAGGGTCACATCTCTACTGAATGCTCCCCGCTGCGGGTCGGCCAAAAGATACCTTAGGTCATGGACTCATAGAAATGAGGGTGGAAGGGAGCTCAGGAGTCGCATCTAGTCCAAGCCCCTGCTCCAAGCAGGACCAGCCCCAACTGCATCATCCCAGACAAGGCTTTGTCTATCCAGGTCTTAAACACTTCCAAGGATGGAGACTCCACCACCTCTCTGGGTCACCTGTTCCAGTACTTTACCACCCTCCTCGTGAGAGAGGTTTTTTCTAATATCCAACCTCAACTTCCCTTGCTGCAGCCTGAACCCATTGCTCCTTGTCCTGCCATCTGCCCCCACTGAGACCAGCCCAGCTCCATCCTCTTTGCAGACCCGCTCTGCAGGGAGGTGAAGGCTGCTATTCAATCCCCCCTCGGTCTTCTCTTCTGCAGACTCAATCATCCCAGTTCCCTCAGCCTCTCCTCATAAATATAACCAGTGCTTCCTCAAACTGTGGCCTGAGAATCACTGGTGATTTGTGATGCCTATAAATCATCCTGATACCACCCGTCTGCCCTTTTTCAGTTAAAAGCTTGGTTGTCCATGACAAATGTCGAGGCTTGATAGTTGTCTGCTGGCCCTAAGGGTTTGGGAGCAACTGTCTTCAAGAGGGACTTTCATGCGGATGGAGGAAGAGGTTGGCAGTGAGAGCAGTAGTGGCTCTGCCAACTTTCTGCTGATTCTGTTGCTTAAGACAGACGGGGCACAATGCAAAGCAGATGTCAAAGCTGCCCTTCCTTTCATTGGGAGCAAGCCAGCTCCAGGCTGGAAGATGTTCAGTCTCCTCTTTCCAACTGCTTCGTGCTGCTTTCCAGGCGTGAACTGAGGGGTCTTACAGGACTTGTCTCAGCAAGAAGGTTGGGGCCAGTTAGCTGCTTCTTTTAAATGTTGTTGCAACTTGGGCTCAACTCAGTCTTCAAAATGAAATGGGTCTCTCCACTTCTGGAAATGTCTCCTTCCCTTTTAGAGAGGTACTGATTGATTTTTGCAGTGATCTGACCCAGGGAGGTGAAATTTGGGTCAGAAGGCAGAGGCAACGCTCACAAGCCCTGAAGAGTCGATGACCACCCATACTGATAAAATGCACTGAGCAAAGGAAGCTCAGTGACTCGCCATAGAAACAGCTCAGAAAATTGCAAGCCCATTAGCTTATTTTGATGCACATTAGTGCATGGTTTTTTGTGACTCCTTAATGCGCATTAAAATAGACTAATGCACATTAAAGCACACATGTAGACGCTCCCACTGTGTCTGCAGGGGTACCTGGTAGGATTAGCCCTATTCTGTTTGTGTGGGAGGAAGCACATGGGTGCAGAACAGCAGCAGGGGATTGTGGGCCACGTGGGAACCACGTGAATCAGATTCAACCATTCTCCTTGGGTACTTGCCAGCACCGTACCTAGACTCCTGGTGGCCCT